TTGCCGCCTTACAAGCCTTGGACAAAGAGTTGGAGCAGGAGGAAGGAGAAGGGTGCGTCACCGATTCCAAGACTCCTCGTGTCATTCTAGAATTCATGTGTAATGGCAAACGAATGCGTGCTCTGGCTGACCCGGGGGCTGAAATCAACTTCTTAACCGACCATGCAGCCCGTACGCTTAAGCTCAATCAACGCCAACTGGTCCGGCCAACACAACTGGGCCTGGCAGTCTCGACAGACTCTCCACCACCACTATTGACACACTTCACCATTGCGAACCTTGTCGATGAAACGTCAGGGAGGAAATTCGACCGAACTTACTTCAAGATAGGGGAGGTGGGAGGAGAATTCGACATGATTCTGGGCACTCCGTTTTTTAAAATCTTTCAATTTTCTGTGTCTGTCAATCAAAGAGCGATTATATGTGAACGGAGTGGAATGAGAATACAAGATTTCAGAGTTTTAAACCAAATGAGAGAGAGAGAACAGTGTGAGAACTTGATGAGAGTTAGTGAGCCGAAGAAAGTAACACGAGAGAAGTGGCAAGATGAAGTGAGTAAAGTAGAAGAGGTGTCACCAAAATTGAAGGCCAGTCAGTTGTTCATGATGGAGAGAGGTGAAAAATTAGAGAAGGAGATGATTGAGGAGTTCAGTGACCTTTTTCCTGTGGACATACCAGCAGTATCGGATGAAGCGGAAGAGAAAGGCTTATTCATTGATGGCTCATTCCCGGAGAAGTTGCAGAAGGAGAGCTCAAAAATTAGGCATAAGATAGTGCTGAAAGACCCGGATGCAGTTATCAACGAAAAACAATATCGATATCCCTTGAAGCATTTGAAGGTGTGGCAATGTCTTACAGATCAGCATTTAGCAGCCGGACGAATCAGATGCTCTACCAGTCAATATGCATCACCGAGTCTGATTATACCAAAGAAGGACCCTAACAAACTTCCAAGATGGGTATGCGACTACCGCATCTTGAACAGTCTGACTGTGAGGGACCGTGCTTCGTTGCCTAACGTGGACAAGTTGGTCAGACTGGTAGCCAGTGGGAAGTTTTTTTCAATCATCGACCTTACGAATGCTTTCTTCCAAACAAGGATGAGAGAAGCAGATATCCCACTTATGGCGGTCCACCTCCCAGTGGTTTGTACGAATGGTGCGTGATGCCTATGGGCTTAACAAATGCACCCAGCACACACCAAGGACAACTCGAAGAAGCACTAGGAGATTTGCTAAACACAATTTGTGTCGTTTACTTGGACGATATTGTTGTGTTTTCTAACTCCGAAGAAGAACATATCAAGAACACACATCAAGTACTTCAGAAATTAAGAGAAGCAAACTTATACTGCAGCCGAAAGAAGACGAAGCTATTCAGGAGTGAAATCAAGTTCTTAGGTCATTGGATATCAGCTGAAGGAATCAGAGTAGATGATGAGAAAGTTTCCCAAGTTCTCAATTGGAAGACGCCAAAGTCAGCAAGAGGCATCAAGAAATTTCTCGGGACAGTTCAGTGGATGAAGAAGTTTATTTGGGGACTTCAGAATTACGTTAACAAGCTTACACCATTGACAAGCAGTAAACTGGACCCCAGCAGATTTCGCTGGGGGAAAGGAGAAGACGAGGCATTTAACAACATCAAGAAACTCATGACGTCTCTACCTCACCTGAAGAACATCGACTTTGACTCTGAAGACCCCCTGTGGGTATTCACGGACGCGAGTGGTTCAGGATTAGGTGCTGCTTTATTTCAAGGGAAGGAGTGGAAACTAGCTTCACCAATTGCTTACGAGTCACGTCAAATGACACCTGCCGAACGCAACTACCCTGTGCACGAGCAGGAGCTCTTAGAAGTCATCCATGCGCTGAATAAGTGGCAAATGCTCCTATTAGGCATGAAAGTCAATGTTATGAGTGATCACCACTCTTTGACGTATCTCATGCGACAAAAGACTCTGAGTAGACGTCAGGCGAGGTGGATCAAATTTTTAGCGGATTATGATGTGGAGTTCAAGTATATTAAGGGAGAGGAGAACACGGTAGCTGATGCGTTATTGCGGAAGGAGATTGAGGAAGATGAAGCATCCCCGGAAGGTATTGATTGCATCGCGACTCTAATTGAAGCAGGTCCGAGGTTATCACCGAGTGTGAAGACACGGATTCAAGCAGGGTACGCGGACAACAAGTTCTATGGAGCGGTGACCTCAGTACTACCTTTGAGAGAAGAATGTATTATATCAGACAATCTGCTGTTCATCGATGGACGACTTTACATTCCAGGAGGAGGAGGACTGCGACTGGAACTCATTGAAGAAGCTCATACAAGGCTAGGACACTTAGGATACCTCAAAACAGTCACCGATTTACGGCGTGATTTCTTTTGGCCAAAGATGGCGAAGCAGATTGAGAATTTTGTACAATCTTGTGACGTCTGTCAACGAATCAAGACACCTACCTCGGCGCCGGCGGGTCGAATGTTGACACCAACCATACCTACCACTCCTCTCGACTGTTTAGCGATGGACTTTGTAGGTCCTTTACCCAAAGTCAACAATTACGACATGCTCCTCACCATCACCTGTCAACTGTCCGGATTCACGAGACTTATCCCTTGTGGACAGACAGACACGGCGGAGAAAACAGCATCCCGACTCTTCTCGGGTTGGGTAGGTACATTTGGTGCGCCGGTCTCAATCATAAGTGACCGAGACAAAACTTGGACCTCAAATTTCTGGAAGGCCCTTATGAAGAAGCTGGGCCCCAGTTTTCACATGTCTACAGCATTCCATCCTCAAGCTGATGGCCGGAGTGAACGAACGAACCGTACCGTTGGTCAAATCCTACGCACCTTCGCGACAAAGCGTCAAGGCAAGTGGCTTGAGGCTCTCCCGGCAGTCGAATACGCCATCAACGGAGCCGTCAACATCTCCACGGGGAAATCTCCGTTTGACCTGGTACTTGGTAGGCCCCAAAGGAAGCTGACAACACACGCATCATCTGATGGGGACCCTCTGGCGATGACTAAATGGCTCAGCATGAGAGAAGACTCGTGGGCCGACACGAAGGACGCCTTGTGGAAAAGCCAAATTCAACAAGCTCTGCAACATAACAAGCGAGTTAAACAAACTGAACCGCTAACCACTGACTCGTGGGTGCTTCTAAATTCGGCGGACTGGCGAGGCAAACATACAGGAGGAGTTCATAAGCTGAAAGAAAAGTTTGAAGGACCATATCGCGTGCTCAAGAGTTTTAATCATGGCCAAGATGTTGAACTCGATCTCCCAGAAGGCGACAAACGACATCCCGTTTTTCACATCTCAAAAGTGAAGCCTTACGTCGAGCGAGAAGAGGAGGAGGGTGCACCGTTAGGGACAGGATTACAAAAGTAAGTCACCGCCGGGTCTCTACTACCCCAAAAGTTGTCAAAACATACCCAGGCCACTATGTGAGCACACATTCTTCGACTGTCTCCCTTTAGATCTCATACACAGACAACAGTTGCACACTCTCAGGGTACCTGGACAACAAATCTCGTGGTTTTCTTTTTTTTCTTTTCTGTCTTTCTTTTCTATTTTTTTTCTTTCTTGCTTTCTTTTTTCAATTTTGCTTCTTTCTTTCAATTTTTTACTTCTTGTGGTACCTCAAGGCCGGTTGAAGCTTCCTTTTATAGGAGGGGAGACTGTAAGACCTATGGTCATTACACATACGTACAAATACTAAAGTACTTAATAATTAATACTTAAGTCTTAGAGACTCCTTTATATATCTTTGTTCAATTCCACGCTATGGTTCTGTAGTGATCAGGGACTGACTTCCCACCCCATATCCTACGGAACCAGGTAAGCGTATATCTTATTTCTTTCTTTCTTATGATTCTTGCGTTTATATTTGTAGAGTGATCAGGGACTGACTTCCCACCCCATATCCTACGGAACCAGATTCTATTGGTTTTCCTATTGATTTGAAATAATAAAAGTCACTTGGGTTCTAGAAACCGTCCCGCTGTCCTTGACAGCTTCCCGTTGCAATTCAGTGAAGGTTTGAGATCCCAAACCTTACAGTGCACCCATTCCAGGTTATTCCCCACCAACTCCTGAACTTTTCCTGCCAAAGATTGAGTGGGAACCGATGGCTTTGAAAATGGGTGCGAGTGTGGATGATCCGGCTGATGAAGACAACATTGACATGGTAGGCCTTTGGCAATAAGGTTATATGTAGATTGCGACTGACTCTATTGGTTATAGCATCCTTGTAGTGAGCAACACACAGCAGCCAATGATGTTCGAGGTAAGTCTCACTGGGGCGGAAGCGATGATACTGGTTTATTGGGCATGGCATGTAGACATGATCATTTTCTACGGTTTATCAATATCATACAAAGTGGATAAAAGTCAGTGGGTTAAAAATGGATGAGGTAAATCATAGATGTAACTAAGTCGAACATCTTCATTAGGTCATATTTTGCTCTTGCCTTGATTGAATGGATTTTGAAGGTAGTATCCAACACAGATTGTGAGGGTAAGGTTGAGAAGCTGGGCATCCTATATGACATAGGCTGCAACCTAGAAAAAGGTATAATCAAAGTCAGTTCCGGAACAAACTAAATGGTTATTTGCACCTAGCTAATGTAATATATTTGATACTAGCGCGACTTGTTTGCGATTGAACGCAAACTGAACCGTCTCAAGTTTGGGACCAGCGTCTTTCATGCATATGTGCATGAATGGGGATGCCAATTGGACTACAACCCACGATTGAACAAAGGATGGGGCTTATCCGATGGCGAGGGGATGGAAAGGATATGGTCGTTCCTGTCACCTCTAGTGCGTCCGAACAGGTATGCCACCAGCCAATGTAGGTTGATCAATATCAATATACAATCTTTACATCACAACAAGATGTTGCGAGCAAATGCAGGTATGCTTTTGAGTTCTTGTGTTAACTGTTACTGTCAACAATAAATTGACACATGATGTATGTATCCTTACAGTTGGTTCTATGACAAGTCGATTCAAAGTTGTGCTGGAAAGGCTTGAAGAGGCACAGAAAGACTTGGCTAATATTGAGACGCGAAGCCCAGCTCTCAACTTGGAATACATGAAAAACCAGTGGGCTAGACAAAAAGAAATGCAGGCGCAAATTATCAGTGAGACCGCTGAAGATAAACGGGAGCAGAACCTAGTATTGATTGAGCTTGAAGAGGACATGCTAGAGGCTTGGTAGGTGTTATGATTTTCTCTCCTTGGTTGCACTGAGCTGAGAAAATCAGATGTAATGCAGTCGCAGAGTGGAAGCCATATCTGCAAAGCGACCCCAAATGCGGACAGGCGCTGTGCGGGCAGAGCTGCTTGATCTCCCCCAAACATTGATCGCACTCGAGCAGAAAGTGCAGGACTTGGCGGACGAACTAGGATCTGATGAGTTCTTACACCTCACAGGGACATCAGGTACTTCCTACGTTAATATGACCATACAAAACCGGAAATCTGACATTTGATTGTTTTGATTGTCAGATTCCCAGTCCAAGCTCTTACTGATGGTGCGCTTGTCAAAGTCAAAGCTTTACGAGGCCAAGGTGGGGGTTATTGAAAACCAGAGACAAGCAGCTTTAAATACAGGTATGTATATTGTTATGACCAAGGCAAGAAGCGAGAGAAACACATGGAACTGAACAGAGATTGTTGTAGGAACTACGTGCCAGGTGTGGTTAAACAAACGTTGAAACAAAAAGAAATTACTCTTGAGGAAGAAGTATCAAACTTACCATCGACATGCATCAAACTACAACCGGAAACACAATCCAGCCAACCCGATTCCAGATCCTACATTTGAAAAAGTGGAGTCAATGGACATAACTGACCCCTTTTGGGATATTGGAGGCTTAACACATCCTAACGAAGCGTGGGCAACGGACCGAGCCACCAGGAACGGAATCAGGGCTTTTCTACTCAAAAGAGGAGCGGAAGAAGAGCTTCAGCGAATTGGACGAGAAATTCGACAGCTGATGAAGTGGTCAATTATGTATCAAGATCGCATTGACATGATCAAGACAAAGTGGGAGGAGGACCAAGGTGAGGTTCAAGTTGGTATGTTTTCACGTAATTTGACATTGTAAGGCTGACTAATCTGTCTACACAATTCAGGCAATGTGCAAGCCGAGTCAAGGCTCTTGTACTTGGGTCTAGTGCGATCATTGGGTCGGTTATGGATGACATGGAGCAATGGTTTAAGGAGCATGCTTGAAAGCACATCAATGTACTTTGCGGACAGTCATATTGTGGATGTGGCCCTTCTAACTCAATGGGAGGAGATGTGTTTGAAGAGCGCGATGGAGTGGGCAGCAATAGTAAATTTACCAAGTTTGATTGCAGAGGCCGCGGAGGAAGATGAAGATGTTCTTGAAGATGTTGCAGATGTTGCGGACGTGTTTTAAATCAGTACCGCCGACTCAAACTTGGATTGTAATTTGACTATTAACTTCACACTTTAAAATGGTGTTATAAAGACATCAAAACTTGACTGAAAAGCTCTTGGCTGAAGCACAAGCAGGTCTCTTCTCAATTGTAAGAAATCGACTGATATTGCTCTTCATGTAATAACTCTAGTAATAAATGTTGTATCTTGCACTATTTTCACTGAATCAAAGTTAGCGTGTACTATTTACACAAAACTATTGTTGATATGAGAACATTTCTTGACAATCTTTGAGAGTTTAAGTCGGTTTAAAAACAACATCGACTTGGATAAAAATATTACATTCATTGAACTTTTGAACTTTGTAAAAGAATAGAATAAGTTGGTAAATTTAAAGAAAAGATCAGGATGACCAAGCTTGAGCGTTAGTGTAGTACATTCATTGCTTTGATTTCCTTGTACGGGTTACAGCCTTGGGGAAGTCTTGTACCTGCTCACGTACTTGTTTGCGTGTGCGAGGACGCTCGTTCAAGGTGCTGACAAGGATTAGGCTACGAGTCTTCTTAGTTGTGTTTTGGGTGCCTTTTGTAAGGTCGGTATGGGTTTCGGGTGGTTGTATGTCCTTTGCTGAGGATCCAGATGGCAGTTGTGGAGTTCCGTCTTTGGGTTCGTCATCATGACGAAGATCAGCCAGTTTATTGGTCAGAACAGCACTTGGTGTATCGTTTAAGTCATTTGGTGTATTAGTTGTTGCAGGATTGTTAGCAACTCCGTTTGGTGTAATGTCAATGTCACTCGTTGTACTGTTAAGAAGACCAGTTGGTGAATTATCAAAAAGATCAGGTGGTGTATTGTCTGAATCGGCTGGGTGGTTTTTCTCCTCATGATGAACTGGAAGCATCGGATTGGGTGGTTCTGCATTTGAGCTTGCGTGCGGAAGACTCTGCAACTAGACGAGACAAATACAGTTTCCAGGTAAGGATCATGATGATAATGATGTGTTAAACGTAAAATAGATAGAGTGCTTACTTTTGGTGATTGCGGATGATCAGATTCTCCATCCTCAATATCGAGCAGGGTTGAGTTGGCCTGGTGGGTTGATTTTGTACCTTGGGACTCTACAACCACTTTGGATGTCTAGCGTTCAGGTGATGGGGAGTTATTTCAGGGCTCTGCTCTTGAGAAAGAAAGATGTGGACAACTTACCAATGGTTGAATAAGAGATTGACTTATTTCATCTTGTTTTTCAACAATTTGCTTAATTTCATCAAGAACGGTGTTTTGAGTAGTGGAGTCAAGCAGTCGGAGACGTTGTGATAGAAAGTACAGAAAGGTGTCTATTTTGTCACCGGTTGAGTTCGAACTTTTTTCATCAGGGGGTATATATTTGAGGTCAAAGTTGGGAGGGTGGTTGTGGCTGGTGTTGGTGTGGGAGAGCGTCCAATATTGATGTTTGGTGTCCAGCTTGGCCTTCATTGCAAATGGGCAGTTGATCTTCAATGACTTGCTTGCCTTGGAAGAGTCCTTCAAAGTCTTGCAAAGGCCGCCTCGATGACAGTGATATGTACATCTCCCCTTTGAAACGTAGGACTTCCCAACCGATATCAAGTACCCATGTTCAGCGGCAAATGATTTCACATATTGATCCATTTTTTCTTGTGTTTTGGGATCCATGGGGTCGCAAGTTCCTTGAATAGAGATTTCTGGTGGTGCTGGTATATTTTCATCATTGGTGGACATCTTGTTTAATGATTTTAAGTAAGATTAAGAGGTTGAAGGGTAGGTGGGAATAGATGTGGAGTTCAAAGGGTAGGTGAGATTTGACAGTCAGTACTGCTGATTGAGCTCGGAGTTGTGGTAGTGAGGTGTGGTGTTAGGTTTAACATCAACTAGAAGTGGTGAGCGGTGGTGAGAGGTGGTTAGCGGTGGTGAACGGTGGTGAGCGGTGATGAACGATGGTGAGCGGTGGTGTGGTGTGATGATTGGTGAAGTAGTGTGGTGTGGGGTGGTGAGCGGTGGTGTGGTCTGGTGATTGGTGAAGTAGTGTGGTGTGGGGTGGCGTGTTGTGGTGTTGTGGTGTGGTGTGGTGTGGTGTGATGGTGGGGTGTTGGTAGTGAGCAGTGATGATTTTGGACTTGTCCAAAATTGGATCAGCATTAGATGCTTCTACACATTCTAACTACATCTACACGCTACATTTCAGACCCCATGGGATCGTACAGGTTCTTGTATACACCAATAGGTTTGGAAGATTCAAGTACACACAGGTGAGCGTAACAGCATCTTCATTGCTTTGTATTCAATGTGCTGCAGAGTTGACAAAAACTCTGAGCAATGGTCTTGGGATCCCCATGTGAATGACGAAGTTGAGAAGGCTCACGAAACTATTCATGACATCCTAAGTGACAGCTTGGAAGTTATAGCTCAAAACACCAAGCATTGCCAAATCAAAATCCGTCAAGAAGGTGAAGACAAGGTTGGAAGCAATTTTGTACCTATTTCCCAAAGTATTGGATGGCTTCACCAGCGTATCTTAGTTGGCGAAAACTCTGGAAGCACTGCCAAGAAGACCAAAGCTCACCGACGAGGACTACCTTGGCTTCTCAAGCGATTCAATCAGGTCTTACTGGGGATTGTCCTGGTCATTGAAGGTGACAAGTACAACACAAAGTTGAGACAAGCCATCGCCAGCAAAGCGCCTGCAGAAGAAATTGCTTCGCTCAAGGCGGATCAAACAAAAACCGCCCTCACTCAATTGGTCAAGGATCACAAGGCCAAGAAAGCAGCAATGCAGCTGGCTATCAAGGCTGGTAAGACTGGAAAGGCAGTTGAGGATGCTGCTGCTTCAGTCACTGCACCGGACGATGGCAAGGTCGGCATGGCCAAATACGGCTTATCTGATATGCGTTGAAATGCGCTTCAGGCCACAGCTCTCTTTCTCACTGTCGGTACTGATGGACTTTTCGGCGTCTGGCACAATACACGAACTCAAGTGATGGCTGACTCTGTGATGATTATCAACATGGCCTCTATCCTGAATAGCTGTCGCAAGGCCACGATTGCTTCGAAGCCTCACGTTTATGGCGGACGCGCCTGGAACCGGCTTGACCACCATGTCTTCAAGATCTTGAAGAAGTTCTTGAACGAACAAGGCAAATTCGACGAGAACTTGTCTTTCAAGGAGATGACTGACCTGTTTGCGATCGAATTTGACTCTCGAACCATCGCCGAGCTTTTCACCTTGGACCTTCAAAGCAAAATCTTTACTCCGGGCTATTCCCAAACACCTAGTGGAGGAGTTGCACCTGAGGTGATGCTGAAGAACGAGATTCATTTAGCGCCTTGTACTCAAGAGTTCCGGGATGTGTGGAGTGTGACTGAAGGAGCGCCTCAGCCTGTCTCGAAGCAAGGAGAAGTCAGGAGGGCGGGTGATGAGGCAGGAGAATGCGATTAGCCAGATGCGCAAGGATCAGGCTGCTGCTTCCGCCCAAATGCAGGATGAGGATGAGGAAGAATCGGATGGTATCCATTCTGATATCTTTGATGGTGTGGGAGAAGACGAATGAGGTATGTTGATTTATTAGATCTTTCATTGATAAATTGCCTATGTTCATTGGTCGTATTTTGTATCACTAGTGCGACTCAGAAGGATATTGATGGAGTGCGGTCAATGAATGGTTGCCTTGAACCAATTGTTTTTTTCCTTATATCCCCTCCTCACGCTAGTTTAGGTGTCATCTGCCCATCGGTCGCATTTTGCTCATCAGTGCAACCGTGGCGTTATACATGACGTAGATTAGCTTTTCTTTAAGTTTTCCTTTCTTTTTCCTCCTTCTCGAATAAAGTTTTGACTAGTCTTGACATAATGTGAGGCTTGTATTGAACTGAGTATATGTGGGGATGCCCGTTGAAGAGATTGATCATGTTAGATCCCCTCATCAAGCACATGTAACCCCTGAGTGCCTGAAATGAAGCGAGGCTTGATGAGGCTATTCACTGCAGAGTAAACTACCTGAGATGTGTCTGTTCCCAGCGAGTGGTCGCAAGTCAGGGTCAACTGCGACCAGACAGAGGGTGTGAGTTGCCCACGGATGGTAAGTCGCATTTTTCAGTCAAATGCGACCCATTCGACATGAGGACTGTCAGTTGCAAGTGTGTCGAAGTGCAAGCACTTTGAATACCATAAGTACAGCCATATAGCTGCTGCAACAGCTGCTTCCACTCTGTGAGCAGGCTGTGGTGTGCGTGCACGTGCATGTGCACGCATCCATCCGCCCGCACGCGCCCGCCGTGTCCTGCACTTGGTCATAAGCAATATGAATTGAATTTCCATGAAAATTATTGAGCCGTAACAATTTAGCTTACATACATTGTAAGCTGTGTACGTAAATGTTTCATCTAAGTAACATTGTCCGGACGTAAGGGCCCTGGAGTCTGTATGTCAGAAATGGGTAGACAGACAAACGCCAAACCTAATGAAACCTATTGTTGCCACATCCTTCTCGCCGCATGAGTCTGTACAGGCCGGTTGGGTATTCCGTCTTAACACCACGTCAGGAGGGACCTCTCTGACTGCAATATTCACGGGCCTTTAATTGACAGATTACATACATATCACAGGTCTATCACAGGCCTTACACACACCTGTCACATTGTGTGAAAGGTGTGTCCAATAAGATTGTACTCCAATGTCTGTTCTTGAATCTGATAGATCCCACAGTCGCATTTTCTCTTTTAAAGCGACCCACCGTACTATTGCTACGTCACCCAGGACACTGATACCTGTGAGTCAGCAGGACATAAATGATATCACCAACCTTTCGTCTTGCACAAGTGGCTGACTTGCTGACGGTCGCATTTTTTGACAAAATGCGACTGTGATTGCAGGTATTTTACGTATACTATCATCCGGTGTCACCCACACTTTCCCCACACGCCTTGGTTCAACTCTAGTATGTAACATGATGGATTGAGGTTGCATTTTTTGGCCACAGTGCGACTAACATTCTGGTCAAATCATGTGAATGTAGAACACGGCATGTCATTCCCGTGTGGGCCGTGTAAACTGTCGTTTGACAAACCCCACAAGCTTGACACCCACCGGCGATGTGTGCATCAAGCTGATGTCACAGTGACCACAGCCCACGGGGACAAGGTGGACCTACACAGGATGAGAGACAGTATGTTTCATTGTCCCAATCAGTGCGGGTACAAGCAACCAAATGCTGGATACCTAGGTAGCCATGTCAAGACTTGTTTAGCCACCGGACCTCCACTGTCTCCTTTGGAACGGCATGTGGAACCCAATGTGGGTGTCATAGTCCCAATGGACCAAGAGGTGCAAAGTAAGTGTGTATTATTGAGCTTTCACGTAAATCAATACACTGCCGAGCACGTTCCCCAGGTAATGATTTGCTTGGTCAATACCATCTGGCTTGGAATGTTTGTTGTCAAATTCTGATTTGCACTGAATGTCATGCTGGTGTGGTGCCTGAAGAGGTGGCGGCTCACCTCAAGACCCACCACAAGCAAGACTCCAAGGTGAAGCAAGAGGAGGTGATGGAAAACTTGAAGGAATATGTCATCCAGGTCAATGAGGGGCCACGCCCCTTGGACTATGTGAAAGGCAAGCGCCTTCCTCCCCTTGAGGGACTCATTGTTTATAATGGATACACGTGTAAAATATGTGACAGATCGTGGCAGGCATTGAGAACTGCTCAGAATCACTTTGGCAAAAAGCACAGAGGTAGGGTTAATTTCTCATACAGCAATCAAGTAGTATTACTGACACTGCAGTTTAGATCTTGCTGGCGAGCGGGACAACCACATTCAAACGGACAAGTGCCAACATCTGTATGGACACCACCACAGCTGTCATTTCCCTGTCCTGCCATATGTCAGGCCAGCAGTTGCGTCTGGCCCTGGAATGCGCTCAGGCAGAACTCCTAGTCCCGAAGTGTCTGATCGTGGAGATGCTGTCCACAAACTTGTCAACAAACTTGAGGAACACGCAATGGCCGGAGTCGGACCAGGCCCGGATTCCGAATTTGACAAGGACACAGCCCATTGGCTGTTTATCAGTGGTATACAAACATATATCGAGGGGTTGATCATCAAAGAGAAGACACATGAAGATATTGTTGAAGCAGTTCAGATTGATGAGAATGTTGAGAAGATGATACCTTTCCTTGCATCGTGGATCAATAAAACAATGAAGCGATTGCATCAAACCGGTCAAATGCTGAAGCGTGTGTGTTTATGCAAGGATGAGTGAGTTGATGATGTATTGCCAGCTGTGACTGAATATTGACCCAGTGCATTAATACCTAGAAACCTAGAACACAACAAGGGACTTATGCCGTTGCAAGAAAAGGCATCCGTGATTAAATACGCATGCATATACGCATGCATTCTGGCCAATTTTCTATGGTTCTTGGTGCTGCAAACAGACATACCAGTCCACACTGGTATCCAACTCTACAATGTCCACAAGCCTTTCATACATCAACTTAAAGACATGGTACTGCCCCTGGAGCTACGACGACAGAACTTGAATCAATACGGGGCAGAGGAGATCATTCCGGTTGAAAACCGTGCACTGTCAAAACTAGCATCTCAGATTCTATGCAAGGTCTTCCAGGTCCCAGCGGCCGCTCGCAACTGCCAATACCTTTTTCCACCTATGCAGTTTCTTGCATTCTCGGTTGTGAAGGTGGATGGTTCTTACGAGGGGGTGACCACCCTCACCCGCCTGATTGCTGGTATGCAATATGGAGTGAGGCTAACTTTTGCAGAAGAATACCTTGATGCACCTGCCCCAGCATTCGATCCCAATGCAGACCCTACGATACCTTTCAAAGATGACTTTAGCCGGTTCAAGTATTTGCACAAAAACCACGCAGGGCCCTTCAACTATGTACGGCAGGTTATGCACCTGGCCACTACTGCCATCATGTCTGAGGCACTGCCTGAAACCACGTTCTGGGCTGATCACCACCAGGAAACTCTTGAGATGGACAACAAGAAGGTTACTATTGGAGGGATCAGGAATTGTATTCAGATACAAGATAAGCTAGTGCAGCAAGATCTTGATGCCATAGTGCGTGGATGTAAAATGCCAAAGCTGGATTTGAACCTCTACAAAGACAAGCCCAACAACTGATCACCTGGTACAAACTATCTCACACACTCGCGGTTGACTCACCGTAAATACAACCTTCATCTTTTGAAAGAATGGGTGCGCAAGAAAGAGCCAAGATGGCAAGAAGAGCTTGGAGATGATGTTAGTGTATGTAACCCTGCAATCTGGAAAAAATCAGCGGTGTGGAAATGGCTACAGTTATATGATAGAATAGTTGAGAGGTTATACTTTTTGTATCATGTGGCATCTGGACAACCTTTGCGAGGCACTGAAGAATCAGTTTTATTATTGGTCAATACTTGACTTGCAGCTCGGAACATATACCTAGGAGATGAAGAAATTGCCTTTGTTTCCTACTATCACAAAAGTTGAAATGTAACTGGGACGAACAAACCACGCATGACGTTTTTACCAGCTGGACATACTGGAATGTGGCACACGTACCTAGGTTTCTTGAGACCAGTAGCCATGTAAGTGAAAGATATGCTACAGGTCATCACAGTGGGCTGATTACACATGATTTAGTTCTTTCCTCCAATTGGTGGGCAAGGCTGATATTGCTCAGGATATGACCACAAAGCTGTGGGTGACATGTGGACAAGGTACTTTGGATACGGAGGACTTTTCCAACATTCTGAAGAGCCGATTCATTGAAGGAGGAGTTGCACCTCTTGGCATTTCGCAATGGCAACATGTCTCTGTAGCTATTACGGATGCTCACATCAAAATTGCTCCTCCACCTGTTGCTGAAGGGGAAAACTCAATGTTTGATTGTCAATGAGGTCACTCGAGCTACACCAAGCCGCTCCGCTTTAAGTAGTGCTACAAAAGCGGAGTGCAGTGCTGTAGCACTGCGCCCATAGTGCTATAGACAGAGCGCCCAAGCGCTCCGCTATGGCAATCAGGCCTGGAGCTTGTGTGGAACCATTGCTCCGATATTCCGGAGTGATGGCTAATAGAGCGCTGTATAGTGCTATATGCGTAGTTGCTGGATAGCGCTCTATTAGCTATAATATTAGCTATACGTGATGCCTCCAGGGGCTTGCTGTACACTTTCGGATGTATAATTTAGAGGGTCCCCCTTGTTCTCCTTTCAGCCATCTGTCTTCCTTACTGAACATGAAGCACGGACTAGATACCACAAATACGACATCGGGCGACAGCTACATGGCCAAAGATCAGGTGGCACCTACAAATCAACAATCCCTTGATTTTTTTAGGTGAACTGACAAGTCACCAATTGTCCCATCCCTCTTTTTATCATTGGACCATCTCTTATTTCTCCTGATTAATTTCATTCCAACATTACTGTTCCAATCTTACTATTCATTTCAAATATCCAGTATCTTTTTGTGGCTTTCAGAAGTCGATATGGCCTTGCTAGCCCCACCCTCACCTCTACGCTCAAGTTCCCGTAATCGTACCGCTCCTAATAGCCCGCGAATGGTTCCCACCTCAGCCGATTCTCGATTGTCGCTCAGTGTGACCAATCCAATTTCATCTGAGACTGGTAAAGGTGACACTGGAACTGATCAATCCCAAGCCAAAGAAAAAAGTAGCAGCACTCAAAAGAAAAATAAACGAAAGAAGAAAGGCAAGAAGAAGAAAACACAAGAGGAGATTGAGGTTTCATCTGATTCTGCCAATGATGAACCGAGTCGCAAAAGGGGTAAATCTAACAAGGTAAGCTTGTAAGTCTGATCATTGTTAATTGTTCATGTTACTAATATTCAGTAAAATCATATCTTTATTAGATTATCCCAGCTCCGATAGAATTGGATCTTGATCAAGATGATGGTGTCTCTGAAACCATGGAGACATCTTTGGTAGGTATCCGCAGTCAACAAGCTAAAGATGCCGAAGAAATGCAGCGCTATTTCAAACCACCGGAACAAGTAGGCAACGAGGTAAGTCATCACAAGGTTACAATAATTCTCTGTCTTCTGCTGAATCATTCTCTGTTTGTAGACTGGCCCCAATCCTCGAGGCTACAAGTGCCAATACTGCCATGGTACCTATATTAAAGGTCCAAGTGGCTGGTCCAATCTCTACAGTCACCGCGATGGATCCGAGAGCCGCCCAGTCTGTGTAGCTCCTCACTTGGCAACCAATCTCAACCTTCCACCAACCTACAAACAGCGTATGAAGGCCGAAGCTGAGAAGAACAAGGGTTCTTCAGGTTCTTTGGATAAATTTGTCTTGGTCATTGTCAAGTTCAGTGTTGAAATCTTCAATCAAGTTATGGTTATCTGGCTCCTCTTGCATGCTTTGCCTTGGGCTCGAATGGAAGACACCACCCTCCGAGCAGCTTTTCGTTTTGGAAATAACAATGCCCAAGTTCGGTCTGCATATTGGGCACAACGTGCCTCAGCTCGTCTCTATGGGGATATGTTGAAAGAAGTTGTTGCCGAGCTACATGTGAGTGAACTTTACTCATCATCCTGGAATGATCTTTAGTAGATAGGAACTAACTGGATGAATAATTTGAAAGGGAATCCCGGGCAAATTCTGCCTCATCCACGATGTATGAAAAACTAAAGGAAAACGACATGCATTCATTGGTGTGTTGGTTACCTACATCAATTCTGACTGGAAGTTTTGCTGTCGACACCTTACATTCAAGCTCGCTGCTTGGCATCACTACAGAGCTCTCCTTGCTCGACTGGTCGCGTGTTTTCTCATCAAGCACAACCTACATAAAAAGATAAGTAATTGACTTTTCATTCACCTCATTTGTTTTCCCTATGTTTTAACACTGTCTTCCTTTATGTACATGTTGGCACAGACCACCGATTTGGGTGCCAACAACAATACAATGGCTAAAGAACTTGCCGATAAGTTTTCAAATGCAAATGATCCAGTCTCATGGAACCCGAAAACCATGCACATTCGCTGTGCTGCTCATAAACTGGCACTCGTAGTGAAAGCTGGTCTTGCTTATCTGGATGTATCAGTTGGACACATCAAGCCATCCAGTTTACCCGGACTTGACATGCCTTCAATTATGTTGAATGATGGAGACTCAGCTGTTGATGTTCCGCCCGATTCTGAAGACTCTGACTGTGCTGGCCATGCACAGTTTCAAGAGGATACTGAAGATGAAGATCATCTTTCTGAAGCTGATGAACCACCCAAAGCCGAAGACAATCGATTGCCACAAACATCAATCCGTAAAGCTGTGGAACCACCCAGAGGATGGAAGCCTGACAATATTTGATCAGCTGTCAAAAAGGTGGGTACAGAGCGTTATGGTTACAATTGGTCCTTATCTCAAAAAACCAGTACTGATGTTGCTTCAAATTTTAGGTCGACAAAGCGATTTGATTGATATCCTTGAGTGGCCCGCGAAGAGATCAATTCAAGTTGATCATGGGCGGAGGTAAAGGCATCATTGCTGGTAGCTGTCATAGGTGGAACGGTAAGCACGAAGCACGCAAACGTGCTTGCAATGGTCAAAAAGTGAGTTTATGTTTCTCTACTCAATTGACAAAACAATATCAAGTTGTAAGCGCTGATACAGTCCATCTCAACACCAGGCAATCAATCAAATGATTGCTGAAGACCCCGATGGACTCTACTACGGAGAACTTCATATAACAGCCAACGATTGGGCATCGGTCAAGGCGTTGAACAATGTTACGGAGGTAAGTTGTTTATTTTACATATCCATTTTTGATGTATCGGTATTGGTCGTATCTGATACATCTCTTGAACATTAAAGATATTTTTGCAAGGGACTCTGCGTGTAGAAGGTGATAAGCCGACTGCAGGTATCGTACTTCTAGAGTACCAGCTTATCAAGGAGTCGCTATTGGCTAAAGCAGCCACCTCACCTTACCAAAGCATTCAAGACATGATTGGTGTCATGCTCAAGAAGCTCGATGGATACCAAAGAGAGGCAGTCAACTGTGATGCAGTTGTTCTAGCAACTGTACTCAATCCATCATTGCGACTAGGGTTCTTTACAAAGTACTTTCCGGACGACGTTAACCGTATTGATGCATTATGTAAAGAGGGCTTTGAAGCGACCAACTCCGAAGTCCAAACTGATAACAAGCCACAGCCCAACGCTTCGATCAACAAGAAGCAGTCATCTTCTCACCCATACAACTCATTCAGATTCAACCCGAAGCCAGCTGCTCAACATAATACTGACAAGACTGAAATTCAAAGATACTTGGATTGGAACCTTGATGGACCTGATGAGAGTCATTCAATGTTAGATTGGTGGAGTGTAAGCTTTTTAATTTTTAATCAAAGTCACCTTACAAACATTTGTAGGAGCACTGCAAAGTCTATCCAGCTGTTTCTCGAATGGCTCACGATTACCTGGGTTGTGCCGGTACCTCATGCATAGTTGAGCGCACTTTCTCAGCTGCTGCAGATATCTGCACAACTAATTGAGGTGGTCTTGGAACGAAAACAATGGAGAGAGCTGTTGGATGTTCGCTCTGGTTACGATCCGGTGTGAAACCCAGGGGTGAATTTGAAGAGACTTTCACCCTGATTGCAAATGATAGTGCTAGTACTACCAAGAAAAAATTCAAATCAAAGTGACGAGCTCATTGGACCAAATTATCTTGTGATTTTCTTTGTTTCAATCTTATCTTTTTCTTTTTATATTTACAATTAGAGTCAACTTTATGCCAGCACTTAGCGCTATATAGCGCTATGAGGCTGCCCGTAGCGCTATATCGGAGCACAAGATAGTGCTCCACCGCTCCGCTGTCCCTAGGGCAAAAAAATCGTAACTCGATAGCGGAGCGGAGCGGAAGAAAGTAAAGTGCTCAGGCACTCCGCTACCAAAGTTGGCAAATAAAGCGGAGCGGAGCGGAGTGGCTTGGTGTAGCTACCACAGTCAAGTCGATGACGGACCTGAGAATGACAAGCCATCATACACCCAAGCCATGAAAGGTCCCAATCGAGAATATTGGTTAGCTGCGATGACCGAGGAGTTCATCTCTCTTCAACTTCACGCTGTAGGACAACTTGTTGAACCCCCTCTCGATGCCAACATCCTTCCAGGAATGTGGCGCCTCAAACGCAAACGTGACGAATTTAATTGCATAACCAAATACAAAGCCCGATGGATTGCTGGTGGCAATCACCAAATCAAAGGCATCGATTTTGATTCAACCTATGCACCTGTTGGACTGACAGACTCTCTACGTACTCTCTATGCTCTTGCTGCAAACGACGATCTAGAAATGGCCCAGTTCGATATTGAAACTGCATTTCTAAATGGAAAAATGAAGCACAAGGTATTTGTAAGACAGGTAACTGGATTTTGTGATCCTGGAAAACCCACGTGTGTGATGATTCTTGACAGATCACTATATGACACCTGTCAAGCACATCGTGAATTCAACCATGACCTTGATACAAAACTCACATCTCTAGGCTTCACAGTCTGTCCAGTCTCTGTACACTCTCCGTGTGGATAAATGTTTTGTGCACGTGCCCATGCATGTGGATGATGGGATGGTGTTTTCAAACGACAAAACCCTACTCAACAAATTCCGCACTGATCTATCAAAATATTACAAATTTCGCTGGAACGACAATCCAACCTTACACCTGGGCGTGCACATCACAAGTGACAGACCAAACCACAAGATACATCTCGACCAATCACACTACATCTCAGCAATGCTTGACCGATTTGGTCTTTCTGAATGTAACGGTGTTAAAACTCCCCTCCCTCAACACATCAAACTCTCCACTCCATCCCCTGACGACGCGACTGAAATTGAACCCTATCGCGCCACTGTCGGAATGCTTAACTTCCTCTCTGTTCAAACACAACCCGGCATTGCGTTCGCAGTAAGTTACCTGGCTAGATTCAATTCCCGACACAATGACACCCACTGGGCTGCAGTCAAGCATCTACTAGGATACGTAAAACGAACCACATCATACAAACTCTCATTTGGAACCAACAAAGCCCAAAATTTACCCATTGAAGGCTATGCCAATGCTGACTATGCAGGTGACATTGACACACAACGATCCACACCTGGCTCTGTGTTCTTCGTTCACGGCTCTCTGGTTTCATGGAAAAGCTGTCGACAACAGTCTGTGACACTCTCAACAACCAAAGCTGAATATTTAGCAATCGGTGATTGTGTAAAACACGGATTATGGCTATGTCGACTGATTGAACACTTATCTCAACAAAATCAAATCAAGATTCCCATCAAGTTACCCTTGTCCAGTGACAATCAAGGTGCAGTTTTCCTATGCAACGAAGCTTCAGTAAACAACAAATCAAAACACATTGATATCCGCCATCACTTCATTCGAGAACTCACTCGTGAAGGACGTATCAAGGTTTCTCATGTGACCACCAAAGAAATGCCTGCTGATGCACTCACCAAACCGGTAGGACCTGTCATATTGTCACTATGCTATGAACCATTAGGACTTACTGAAATCAAAAGGTAGTGAGCAGGGGGGGCTGTTGGAACCAAATGTCCATTGATATGTTTCTTTAATTGTTTCTTTATTACTTTCTATGTACTTACAATGTGTGCATTACACAATACTAATAACACTATGTAATTTGTCCAAGTTATACTCACGACCTTTTGTTCAGATAAACCTAACCACACATTGTATCGCTGCTGCTGTTAGTTTATCAATTCCTGATCTGAGGAAGTTTCTATTCTTTATTCATTATTAAACTTCTTCAACCACATCACAACCTCATCACTTTAATCTCTCCGTATCAACCTATCCTCCTAAGACTATTGACTGATCTTGTGTTGTTTTTGATCTGATCAGGAATCTAAGATTCCTATACAGTTCCCGAGCGGAAGTTTGAGGTTTCTTGACCGTGGACTTGGAATCCAAATCTTCTCTCGCAGCGCTGATCAAAACTTCACCTATCTCTTACGGCAGACGCCTAGGAAGATCAAAATGGAGTGTCCGTTTCAAGACGGCGTCGACTTTCTCAAGGGCTGCCCGAGCTTCCTCAATTGTCCCAAACTCGACCGCATGGTTAAGTTTGTCCATGATTGACACACCCTGTTTGGTCGAATCATCTTTCTCCTCTGTTGAGGGAACTGATGATGTCCACCCGTGTGAAGAGGAACCAAACACAGCACAAGTCAATTAGTAACTGATCTTCTGCGAAATTACGAAGGACCACATCCGGCGCTACAGCAGCCCAACTTCGAGTGAATTTCCAGGGTATTTCTTCCTGAGGACGTGCATTGATCGCGGCCCTTGGGGTTAGCACGTGGATCTACTTCCGTTGGACGACGCGAAGTGAGTGAATCCTATTTTGCGCTGGGCCAGTATAGCGCCTATGGCTGCTTCTCTGCCTACACCCCGTGAGAGAGCGCTCACAGCTGCTACTCTAGAACGCCTCTTTAAGGGCTTCCGCTGGCGCCTATGGCAGCTCTGGCAGATATCGGACTAGGTCCTAACTGAAATTCTATAAAAGGTAAACATACCTTTTATTCTGATACTCCTTTTGAGGCTTGGAGCCTGTGAACCGTCTTCTAATAAGTGTGCTTTGTTCTTCTTTAAAGTAGATCGGAAATCACTCGTGATGCCTTCTGCCTCGGACGATTCGTCATCTCCTTCATGTCCAGCGACACCCAAACCTTCATCTTCATCTGGTTGTCCAATGGGGATTCCATCATTGTCCGTGTTGGAGTTGTTGAGCTTACCAACTAGGGGAGGTCCCACGGGGGTTCCACTTTGTTGGTGTGAGGATTGCGGGGCTCGAGACCCTGCCCTCTTCGCTCTTTCTTGTGCCTGAATTCTTTCTTTTTCTGCTTGGATCTTTTTCTTTTCTTCCGATTCAAGATGCATTTGGTGTAATTTGTTCTTGGCTGCGACCAGTTTTTCTTTTTGAGCTGATTCCATGATGTAGAAAAGAGTCAAAAGGATGGAATGGATAATTTCAAGAGCAGAAAAGAAGAAGCAGTTCGAATTTTTCTATGGAGGATGTGATTATAGAAAAAGTTGAGAAAAGGCTAAAAGGTGCTGAGGGCAGAAAGAGAGGAATGGCTGTAGCAGAAGAATTGATGAAAATTTTTCTCAATTCTCTGCTTCAGAGCAATTCTTCACTACAGACCTCTGGCCCTGGTCCGTGGACTGCCCCGCACCGTGTTAGCCAGTCCTCTTACATTACGTAATGGACTCTAGGCCTACCGTCGCAGGCTTGGGGTAAACTAGAAATATCCCAGGTGGCATTCCTGGGCCAGGCTGCGAGTAATCTGGTCATTAATTTGTGATGTCAGTGTCTGTGGGTTTTGAGATAGCTGATTGGGATGCTACGTACTTAAGTCTTCAGCCACAGAAACCGTACTGGCTCGATTCTCTTCCGGTTTTACCACTTCTGCATCTGCAGATTGGTTCCTGTAGTCAGTGTCTGTGGTTAATCTGAGAGCCAATCAAGATGGTACATACTCAAGTGTTCAGCACCCAAAACGGCACTGGCTCAATCATCTGCAGCTTCGACCACTGCGTCATCAACAGGCTCCACCTTAACGATAAGGTTATTGCTTTGCGCTCGGCACTGAGCAGCCTCAGGTGCAGAGGGCTTGTGCACGGCATTGGCGGGGCGGTCTTCCCTTGGTATCCTGTCAATTTCATCAAAAGGTGGATAATCAATCAAGTGCTAAAGTTTAGGGCAAGCAGGGATCAACCCAAACCATGGATGTCGAGCCCAGTACTCAATTGACAATTGGTTGTCAAGGGCAATGGCATTTGGAATCGAATCTTACCTTATACCTGGAATGCCTCTGCGGGCCGGTAATACTCTTTGGGGTGGCATGGTGCAAATAGCGAATGGACGATGATGAATGTGGTGCAACGCAACTCCGGAATACGTCAACAACGCGCTTGCGTGGCCTTCATGACGGGACTGTGGTCCTGAAACTGCCCTAACATCATGATGACAAGGAGATGTTAGGTCTGTTTCAGATCAACGTGGGAGCCAATGCTCGCACTGACTTTCAATGAACCCCGCCAACCCCCACACAAAGGATCACGTGACACAATCACATCCTGATACTTTGTGTGCAACCATTTTCTGCTTGCATTTATCATCTCCCCAAATCAATTCCTCTTTACTTTGGCCAATGAACGCGGACCTCAACCTCATTCAGTGTTCACGTTCTTTCATACATTTCTCCTGTTGCCTACTTATTTTTAATTGTAAAACCTCTTGGATGGCCGGCAATCTATTTGAGGCACCATATGACTCTTCTTTTGGGGCCTCTCAAGGCCCAGGTGACCGCTCGCTTGCTACAGGGGGGTCACTCTTTGGCTTGAACAACCATGCTTCCTTGATGGGTTCTATCGGTCAGGAAACACCACCTCACTAACCCTAAGCGTCAGCTGACGTCACATTCTCCAGCTTCCGGCTTCGATGAACCCGGAACTGGTGGGGATGACGCATTTTCATGTTGTTTGTTCAGCCTTGGCGGCCCAGGTAGGAACAACCCCAGCGAAGGACGCACGTTGCAGGGGTACAGAGGACCACGCAATAGATCGGCATCACCACGTGCAAGACCTGGCCACAGTTGCAGCACGCGTGAAGATCCGTGCGGGTCTTTCAAATCTCAGTCTAGTCAAGGGGGGCCTCATGGAAGCTCCAACAATCATGATGGCCGGCATGATTCAACCAGTACTCCACCTGATCCTGGACTATACACGTACCCACTCACCAGGCAAACCCTCCAGACCTTTGATGCCATGTGCAAAAAGGCTGGCTTAGACACTGCAGGTCATGATATTGCCCTGATCCACGCTGAGGTCAGTATATATTCAAACATTCTCAAACCTAATGCAAACACGTTGATTCCCCACGTTTATACCTCTCTCCGTCAAGGTTTTTGGCAACAACAACCGTCACTTGGGACAAGCGATCATGCAAGCTTGGATCATGATGGAGGTGTCCAAATTACGTGAAGAAGTTGCAAATGTCACTGTGCAAGTCACCAATGTGACTGAGCAAGTCACGAAAGTGACCGAGCAACTTTCTACGCTGACCAATGTTGTTGAGGCCATGGTGTTGAATCCTACTCCTGCTCCTGCCGCTGTTCCTGCACCCATTGACCCGACCACTAATCAAACTGTGGAGGATGACGGTCCTTGAGAGGCTAGTCCTCAACTCCTAGTAAGTTTCACTTTCAATTCGTCACCATTGGTTTGGAGGCTGACACCTCTCAATGCGCTAGGACGTCCTGAACCCGCTGGCCCTGAGACTTATAAACTCTGCACAGTTGAGTGCGTACACTGCGGTGAAGAACAAGCGTGAGGGGATTCTCCCACATTCTTTGGTCAACATCATCAAGGTCAGCATCCACTCATTGTTACTACAATTGATGGAAAAAACTGTATGATCTTAACTTTTTTCACTCTGTAGCTCACGGTGGCCCAGGAAGGGCCCGCCTTCGCTTTGAGGAACCTTCCTGCTGTTCATCAAGAAGTGGAAGAGGCTTCTGCAGCCAAGAGGTATGTGAGTGCGATCAAAGACTGCGGCAAGCACACTAGAGAAAAAGTCCACATTGTGGTGTGTTACATGTTTGAATTACTGACCTTGTCATTGTTGATGTTAACGTGTATCCCCAGTTGTTGACAGGGATCCATGATGCCAAAATGGGTGAGGAGGTCGACAAACCGGTGCCCCATATCAAGTCAATGGTCCAAAAAGTAAGCGCTTTGTCATTTTGAAATGAATTTTTGGCAAATTTTCTGATATTCATTCCGTTGTAGGTGGCTCAAAGATGTGGTGTCGTTGGTGCCAACGCTAATTACAAAGCCGTGTGGAGACTTACCGATGAAATTACACGGGCACGTTGTAGAACTCCTACGCAGTGTAGCGTAGGCTGAGCCGGAGAAGGTAAGAATCACCACTCGAGAGAGCGGATGAAACTACGGTGCAGTTACGCTGCCTTCAACCTTAATTTTATTGCAGTTCGAAAGAACTAGAGCAATTCTTAACAATTTTCTATCCCTACGAATTTCTCCCGTGACACTTTTTTAAGATTTCCAATGGATCCGCAAGGTTTGCTGGACTCCGATGATACCACACACAACTCTACACGACGTTGTAGTGTAAAACTACGTTGATTTCGATGCTAACACGGCTTTGAATACACGTGTAACAATGTACAGGGCCGAAATGTAATTTCAGATCCCTGACTCGACCCGGCCTCGACTTGGATCAAGAGGCGGGTTTGTTGCTGGATTTCGGTTTCTGACGCCCTCACGACTAGATTTCGACACAGCTCAGCAACCAATAGAACAACCAATAAAAAAAAACACAACTACACAACACTTTGCTTTTAATCACTAACGCTTTACGATCAATCCTTTCTAAAGGTAAGTTCTGATACTTTAAGCTGTCTCTTTCTTTGATGACCAATTAGCTAATAAAACAAACTTTTCTTCTTTTAACTCTTCTAGGACACTCGATCTCAAACAACATACACTCAGACACGAATACTACACTAACTAAACACTTGATATCACAATTAGGACACACACAAGGATTCTCACTTTGACTCCAACACCCCTTCTTATACCTTTCAATCCTCCCAAAACTCCGACCGACTCCTTTTCATCCAACCACTTTCCCCTTTCAGCTCCGACCGATTCCTTTCTCTTCCTTCAATTCCGACCAATTCCTTTCTTATTTTAGCCCCTATTCGACTCAATTGTTTTCTATTCAAACCCAGGTATGTTTCTTTGTTTGGTTTCATTTTCTTCTTTGTTCTGTTTACTTTTGATTCCACTAATCGATACCTTCCTTCTTATACCTGTATACTGATTGCTTTCTCTCAATTACTTCGCTCCGACCGATGTTTTCTTGGCTTTCTCATGCTAAAACTTCCATTTCTACTCGATTCTCTTCTTTCTTTTTAAGGTATGTTTATTTCTTTCTATCTTTTCCTTCTGTATTTCTATTCTTTCTTCTCTTACTAACTAACTTATTTGTTTCTACCTTCCTTCTTTCTTCTAGTCCCTGTTCAATTTTAGTAGCTCGATCACTGTCCCATTCAAATCTTTGCTCCGACCGATTCAATTCTACTAATGTGAGTTTCTTATTATGTTATCTCCTTCCTTATATTTGATACTAACTCGTCTTCTTCTTCCTTCTTTTGAACTATTCCATTCTCTCTTAATCCTCTTGGCATCTTTTAAAAAAAACTGTCTCATCATTAGGTTCCTTTCGCTTTGATATTGATCTGTTTTCTCCAATCGATTTAAATCTTTCACTTATGTAAGTTTTCTCTTAATTCCTTCTCTCCTCCCAACTCTCTTTTATAATCACTTGACTAATCTTCTTTGCCTCTGTTTTGACTTCCTTCTTTTTAACTTATCTTTGTATTTTGTTTTGTTTCATATACTTTTTTTTATTTTGTTTGTATTTCTTGATGTATAATAGTTGTCTTTGTAGATTTTAACTGAAATGATAAAATAAAATGAATTAAATTTAACTAAAAACTTCTCTGCTCTGATTCAGAGCAAGCTACTACTTTGATTGCGAGTGATTGTGAGTAAAAAAAAGTGAGATCTTCAAGCAATATGATATGTATAAAAGAATGAGGTTGGAGCAAGTTTTGCTTTCCACAACGTATTGCGTATCTTGTAATCCATTTGCTTTGCACCTTGATGATTGTGGTCACTCATCTATATCAATGTCATCTTCTGTACGATGAATGTCAGCGTCGCAAAGCAGCCAGGATTGTACTCAAAGGAGGCAAAGGAAGCAAATCTATCTGGGCGTGTGTGGATAAGCAATTATCCAAAATGTGCCTGAAGACTGATGAGCGCTACACCATTGCGTAAGTATATTCCCTTTTCATTGTCATTGTCTTCTTGCACCTTGCTGACATCACTCCAACCCATAGTTTCTATCAAATTATCTTTGATGACGACTGCAAGTACTTTAATGGAACAACTTTCTTTAACGAGCTCAAAGACAGAGGAATTAGCTTGGATTTGCCATCGGAGGAGGCCATCATGGCACGCATGACTCAAGGCCCGGCGAACCCAAACATCAAGGTATAGGGACAAACAGTTACCAATGAATGGAAGGGTTATGAATGGGCACAGATGATTACAATATATAGAAAGCCAAAGGAAATTACATTTTTTATTCCTGACTGCCTGCCTCTTTCTCATGATTACATTGAAATTGAATAAATGCTTGTCCAGCTTTGAGCTGTTTGACGGCCCTTCCTTATCCCGTTGGATTTCCATTCCCCTGTTGGGGCCAGTGCAAGCATTCATGTGGTTTGGAACTGGTGCAAGCGTGCCAAATCATTTGGTATCCGAGACCGGTGTGAGCAGCGCAATAAAATATCCATTGGGTCACTTGGTCCAATGATTTGCTTGCGCGCATTCCTTGGGGCGTACATGTCCTCGACGGTCTGAAGGCCGTTTAATGGTGCCTGCTAGGCGCACACTTTGCGGCCTGCTGTTCGCGCTGTCTGGCACCTGGCAGGCAAGAGCTCAGTGGGCCTGCTACAGGCCGCCCATCAATGCGGAGGGGCAGACGGCCTTCAGCCTGGCGGTCGTTTCCGCCTGTAAACCATTGCGACCCTCCCGTAGTGTAGATTACACGTTCAAAGAAGTGGAGAAGATGTATAGCCGTCTGAGCCACGTATCCTACATTGCTCCACAATCGCAATGTTACTTACGGTCTGGACGCCACTGGAAGTGGAAGTGGTCCAAACCAGAAGCCAAATGGAAAATGCCTCCCAAGGTCAGGGGAGATCTCAACATCTGGCAAAATGCCTTGAACGCTTTCCCGAACCAAATGCTACTAAATACTTGCGTAGTGAACAACATCAGTGGGTGAGTGACACGTCTATGTCTTTTGGCATAGGCGTCATTGTTGGTAAATCTTGGGCACTGTTCAAACTGCACCCAGGTTGGGATCAACCCTACAGACAACCTGCGTGTGGGATCACATGGCTGGAAACGGTTACAGGTTGTTTGGGTTTGCTCATTGTACAGAAGATGCAACCTCTCAAAGGGGAAAGGTTCCTAGTGTTGACTGACAACATAACAACCAAAGCAGTGCTGCAAAATATGTCTTCCTGCGATGACTGGGTCAACGAGGAATGGAAAAATATCTCCAGGATCCTATTTCAAAACAACTACCAACTTGAGCAACGGCAAGTGAACACTTTGGACAACACCGCAGACCCATTTTCACACGGCCTGCCTACTTCCAAACCTTGGTATTTGCAGATCCACGTGGCTGTCCTAGATGACTTGAAACAATGGCTGGAAGATGTCAAGTGTCCACCAAAGCTGACACCATAGTGGTGAGCCATCCTTTTATCTATGAGGAAGAGTTGCTACCTTATTTTCCTTTCCACCTCCACACCCAAGACTGACTACCTTCTGTTCCCGTAACCAACCATGTATCAGCTCTAAGATCCAGTCTCTCTCCATTGCATCCCCCCTTCCCTCCAACTGTTGCATAACACCCTTCCTAAATTTTCCTTGCTAAATCATTTTATACATCAATTTCCCTTGCTAAATCATCTTATACGTCCCACTTCCTCACAAACCCACTGTCATTCCACATCTTTTCCAACAATACCAATAACTGGACGCTATATTCTTTTCACTCAATAAGTAAGCACATGCTACCTTTTCAAAATGGTCGGACAGTGGATAAGTCATCATTGGCTGACACAAGACTTGACTCTTCCTATCACACGTGCCAGACCAATACCCAATATGAGATGCATCAAGTCTTTCTTGAGAGTCAATGATGACATTAAGCGACCAATAACCAGGGCTCAACAACACATGATTAGAGCCCAATGGAGCCATTCAACCATTGAATCTTAGTCATCCGGCTTCAAGAAGTTCAAGTGATTTGCCAAACTGAAACAACAATGCACATTCCCTGCATAGTGCAACACAGTCAAGCACTTTACATCTGGGCTGGCCAAAATGTCAATCAGCGCGCAACCAATGAGCCTGTCAAAGTCACAACAATTACCAAATACCTTACTGCGTTAAGAACCTGGCACGCATTCCATGGCTTCGACTTCCCAAACATCCACCTCACGTTGTGGTGATCAGAACACACCATCACCCTCACCTTTATATACACGAAGAAGGGCTTGAGAAGCTCAAAGTCTTACTTGCTGAGAGCAGATTTCAAGCTCTGAGAAGCTCTGGTCAAGATGATAGTCAACAAAGGTAGCCAGAAAACTTTATTGTGTCATTTCAACTTTCTTAAGTGATATCATACAAAGTCAGACATGATAACAAAGTGATTCAGATAGTTTAAAACAAAGAATGATAACGTGAATATAATACAGATCGAGGATTTGAGCAAAGCAAAGTAAAGGAGTCAAGTCGGAGACAAGACACATTGAGAAAAATACATATCAAAGATAGAAAATTAAAATAACAAAAGGGTATCATCAAGGTAGTGGAGAGCATAAGAGTGAAGTAAACCTTAATAAGGGACGAAAAGCTGGAATCGAGGAGATAAAGTATGGAAATAAAGAGATAGTTGGAGAAGACGAGTTACATACAGAGAAGAGTACGATTCAGAGGTCAGAAGCGGGTGGATCGGAGGTGTGTCTATGAAAGGGATAAGCCAAGACTCACTTTGGTTCAAATTTGAATGAGGGATTTAGATCGAATTCAAAAGATGACATAGGAAGACTGATTTTGGGGAATCTACTTAGAAAAGATAAAGAGAAAAGATGTTAGTAGAGCGTGAAATCAAAAAGCAAATCAGGAATGAACCTACAAGACTCACCTCTTGGCG